TTGTCTTTGCGCCTTGGCGGCTTTGCGTGAGTCTTCGCTACTCACGCTCTGCGTCTCCGCGTCTCTGCGCGAGAGGCTATGGCAAAGTGAAGATCGCTGTATGCAATCAGGCCGTCGTGACCGTCGTGGTGAAATCTTTGATGACCATTCTCATCAAGACTTGCCCTTATTCGGGCGCCACCGACTCGCGCTCCGCGGCGTCCTCCTTCCCCTCGTCGACGAGTTCCTCGGCCTCTTCGTGGTCCTCGGCCGACGCGTCGGGCGCGGTGTGGTCCCGCTCCGCCAGCGCGAACGTCGCCTGGATCGCGAAGTGATCGGAGCCCGGCGTCATCACCCGGTTCATTGACGCCAGGTGTAGGCCGTCCGACACGAAGACGTGGTCGATCGGAAATCGGCACGGGGGCCACTTGATGGGGTACGTGTTCATCAGGGCCCGCCCGCGCCGCGGGTCCTTGAGGGCGCTGAGGTCTTGGAAGAGCCGCGTCGTGTGCGACCAGGCGACGTCGTTGAAGTCGCCGGTGACGATCCAACGCGGCTCGTGATCCCGCCGGGCCTCACGGGCGACGAGCACCAGCTCGGCGTCGCGGACGCGGCTGTCGTGCCGGTCATCGTCGTCATCGCCATCGTCCTCGGCGTGCTTCCGCTCGGCGTGGCTTTCGCGGAGGCCGGGGGGGGTGGGGTGGATGCCGACGAAGCGGAGCGGCGCGCCGTCGGGGAGTTCAACGGTCGCGAAGATCGACGCGCGTTCGTCGCTCACCAAATGGCGGACTTCTGGGTCGTTCAGCGGGAGACGCGACCAAAGCACGATCCCCAACCCCTTGTCGCGAACCACGCCGGCGCGGTGCGGGTAACGCTCGTCGAGCGGCGTCAGCGCTGTTGCCCACTTCTTATCGACTTCGACGACCAGCAGCAGGTCGGGGTCTTCCTCGAGGAACATCGCCAAGACGTCGTCGTACCGGCGGTTCTTGTAATCGATGTTGGCGGTCAGCAGCTTGAACGTCGTGGCGGCGTCATCGGTGGCGTCGGGGACCTCGTGGCGCCACAGCGGCGTGAAGGGCGCGACGTGGGTCAACTGCCAAGCGGCGACCGCGGCGATCACGACCAGCATCGCGGCGTGCTGCGTGTGGAAAGGATTCCGCAGCGCGTGCCCTACCGTGAGCCCCAACGGCAAGAGCAGCAGGAACACGATCTGCAGACGGGGGAAGTCCCAGACCCGCACCCACCAGGCGCCGGCAGGAACGAGCGGCAGGAGGGTCACCAGCACGAGCAACCCCAGCGTCGCCGGCGCCGACCAGAGAAGCAACTTATCGATCATGAGCGTCCGCGGAAGCAAGTAAGTCGTCGCTAAGCACGCCCCAACTGTAGGCGCCTTTGGCGGCAGTGGAAGCGGGACGCGCCGATTTCGGGCTCAGCCGGGGGCGGAAGCCCGCGGTGCGGTGGGCGCCTGCTTCCTCCGCTGGCTTACGCCCGCGGCTAAGGCTGTAGGGATGGTTGGGTCGAAGGTCATGCTCAGAATCTTGGTTGACGGCGCTAGCGCGTTCGTGTTATTAACCATTGAGTTAATTAACNNCCGTCTGGTGTCTTTCGGATGGCCGACCAGCTCAGCCTCGCCTTCGCCGCCCTCGCCGACCCGACGCGCCGCGCCATGCTCGCCCGGCTCGCCGAGGGACGCGTCGGCGTGTCGGAGCTGGCGGAGCCGTTCCTCGACTCGATGAGCCTGCCGGCCGTCACCAAGCACGTGCAGGTGCTCGAGCGCGCGGGGCTAGTGACCAAGACTCGCGAGGCGCAGCGGCGGCCTTGCGAGCTCAACGTCGAGGGCTTGCGCGACATCGCCGACTGGGTCGAGCCCTACCGCGCGATGTGGGAGGAGACCTTCGATCGGCTCGATGAGTACCTGAAGACGGTTGCCGCGAAGCAAACGCCTACGAAGAAAAGTCCGAAGAAAGAACCGCCTCTCAAGAAGCAACCGGCGTCGAAGAAGCGAGCGAAGCGGGTGGCGGCCAAGGTGAAAACCACGGCTAAGCCGCAAACGACGACGAAACCCGAAGCCACAACCCCGAAGGCCGCGAAGCGAGGCAAGAAAGATGGTCGCCAGAAGTAAGCCGAATGAGCTCTATCTCACGCGAGTCTTCGACGCGCCGGTCGCCGTCGTTTGGGACGCGTGGACCGACGTCGAGCAGGTCGCGCAGTGGTGGGGGCCGCGCGGTTTCACGCTGACGACGCACAGTAAGGACCTGCGTGTCGGAGGGACGTGGGTCTACACGATGCACGGGCCCGACGGCACGGACTGGGAGAACATCACGCACTACCACGAGGTCGTCGAGCCGAGCAAGGAGAAGCCTGGGAAGCTTGTCTACGACCACGGCGCCTCGGCCGACCGGCCGCCGCTGTTCCGCGTCACGGTCTCGTTCAGCGAGACCGACGGCAAGACGACGATGGACATGACGATGGCGTTCGCCACGGCCGAGATGGCGGCGGAGAGTCGCAAGTTCATCAAGAAGGCCGGCGGCGACTCGACGTGGGACCGCTTCGCCGAGTACCTCGATAAACAGTCCACCGGCAAAGAACGCTTTGTCATCAACCGCAGCTTCGACGCGCCGATCGAAACGGTGTTCGACATGTGGACCCAGCCCGAGCACGTCGCGCGGTGGCTCCCGCCGACGGGTTTCCAGATGGAGTTCTTGCGGTCCGACATCCGCGTCGGCGGCAGCGCGTTCTACCGGATGTATAACGGCGCCGGCGAAGAGCTGCACGGCCGCATCGAGTACCGCGAGATCGAGAAGCCGAGCCTGCTGGTCTACACGCAATCGTTCACCGACGCCGACGAGAACCTGACACGGCACCAGATGGCGCCCGTCTGGCCCGAGACGATGCTGACGATGGTGACGTTCACGAGCGAAGGCCCCGACGCGACGCGCGTCAAAATCGTCTGGGAGCCCTGCGGCGTCTACTCACCCGAAGAGGTGGCGGCGTTCGTCGCCGAACGCGGCGGCATGACCCAGGGCTGGACCGGGTCGTTCGACAAGCTCGAAGAGCTGCTGGCTTGATTCCTGTAGGAGGCGTCTCCAGACGCCG